CCATCTATCCATCTATCCATCTATCCATCTATTCATCTATCCATCTATCCATCTCGAGAATTTCTCCTCGATGAAGCGCGTGTTCTCTCAAGCTGCTTCGAAATCCTAGAGTTCCGGAAAACAGATGGCGAAAGGGGACACGATCGATATACGGGTGCCGCTCGGTTAATACGATCGAACACCGGTCGCTTAGTTTTTTTTTCTTTTTATCAAATTTTAATTCTTTCCTCGTATTTTCTTTATCACCTTCTTTCTTAAAATGTTTTTCTTAGAACGTTTGTTTTTTTTTTATCAGTCAATGATATCAAATAATTTGAAATGATTTAAATGTCAAATGGGATAAGAGTCGGAACAGTCACCGATATAATATCTATACCTATGCACAAAGACGATTTAAAAACTCACAATTGTTCTCCATTTGTTAATTCGTCATTTGAAAAATACTTACCTTATTACTAGATCGGTTTTGCTTTTTTTTTTTTAAATTCATCCTAATAAGATGACATTTTTTTAGTTTTGTTCTTTCTCGTCAAATAGGTGTATATAACTCGATCTTTGCATAGATCGCGAGATTGATCGAAGAAAACCCTTTATAACGGACGGCAGATGGTGCTTTTGTCAGTCTTTTCTCGAGCATTGATCGTAGGGGATGGTGTGGGGTAGCTGAGGGCCGAGAAAAAGAGAAAGAGAGAAAGAGAAAGAGAGAGAGAGAGAGAGAGAGAGAGAGAGAAAGAAAGCGAGTTCGAAATACGAGAGGAGTGGCGAACGGAAGCGACGAGGGCTCGCCACGACGAGCAAAAAGGTGGAAAAGGCTCCTCTCTTCGTTCTTGTTCTCTCGTACACTTAGTTAGTTGTTTTAAAAAAGCAACTCGATTACCAATGAAGTAGAACGAAAGGTTAGCGTTAGATTCATCGACGGTGACACTTCCTTCCGTCCCGCGCTCGAGTTATTCTTCTCTTGCTTTCCTCTTTGCTCCCCTCTTACCCTACTCTTGGATTCTTCTTGGGTTCCTCGATAAACAGAAACGTGGAGCAAAAAAGCATCGAGTTTATGCAAAACTAATGCGGACGATGACAAAGTTACTTTATCGTTAAAGACATTTTGATCATTTTGAGGGGGGAGGGGGGAGTAAGGGAATAATATTACATTAAATATAGGAAAAATATTCTCTCATTATTTTTCTGTAGATAATAAAAATGGTATTTTCTTAATTCCCTTTTGTCTAGGATTCGACAGATCGATTCGACATTTTGTAGTTAAACAAGATGATTAGAGATACTTTAGTATTAGAGCATCCACCGATCGATGGATGGATGCATCCTAATGTACTTGATTAAATTCATCGACGATGAAGGATTATTTTTTATTGCGCTCGATAAAACATAGATCATATAAACTGCTTATATACCGCGATCAGGGTTGCGTCTGTAGAACGATTAACCTCTACGTGTCAGATAGAAAAGCGTTTGGAAAATAATTCGTCAATTGAAAACTCATTGACCCGATTATATGCGCTAATGGGGGGAAAAAGAAGATATGGCTTTGGCGGCATCGGCTCGACGTTCGCGCGCGCGTGTGCATGCTGCCTGCGCGTAAGGTGTCTTCAAGGACAGGATATTTTTAGAAAACCGGAAGCACGCTTAGGAATTGATATATGTGTTGCGCATTTATATAGTTTCTTTTTCTTCCTTTAAGGTATAACGATTTTTCTCTATAAATATTCACCGAATCTATATAAAATGTTCTTGGTTGATTGCGCATTGTAATATTGTACGTTTTACGTTGTAAGCTGATAATATGTCGATCGTTACCCTGTTCGCGTGTAAATTATCTCGTATTAAATAGATTGAGGAGAAGTACGTAGATCAAGAAAATTCATTTCGATTAAAAATCAAAATATTTCCAGGTAGATTATTATAAGGATAGAAGTTAAAAAAGTTTAACAGTAATTATTAAGTAGCTTTAAATTACTTTACTCTTGTGTGTGTGCTTCATTTCAGTTTGCAACTTCGTGGTGCACGACCGCTGTCTCAAGGCCGTCGTGTCTCCCTGCTCCAACATCGCGGCAAGTCTGATTAAGGTACCTCACATATTAATTGTATCCCTCTTCTTGTTTTTATTTTATTTCAAGCATTTTCGTATTGTTGGAATTGCTTGAAATAAAATAACCTGATAGACTCGACATTGTTTAACACCTTTGCGTATTTAGTTCGTAATATTCTTCTTCCAGAACCCGGTTGCACATTGTTGGACCGAACCGGTAACACGGAAAAAAAAATTCTGCAATGTCTGTCGGAAACGGTTGGACGATAATTTGTGTATACATTGCCAAAGTAAGTATTGGTTGATTATTTTTATAATGAATAGAACCGGATAAAAAGTTGGAACACGATGATAAAGGTTGACATTTGAAACGTTCTATAATACGCTTTGCGATTGCAGTATGCGAGTATTTCGTCCACACGGATTGTCAGGACTTTGCGATGGCAGATTGCAAAGAAAACGCAACTTATTTACCTGAAAAGGATTTGGCTGCTGTAAAGCATACGCATCATTGGAGAGAAGGAAATCTTCCCAGCAATTCCAAATGTGCCGTATGCAAGAAAAATTGTTTCTCTGCCGAGTGCCTTTCTGGGTTTCGTTGCGAATGGTGCGGCGTAACGGTAAGCTAAGCTTTTTATACTCTTTTCATAAGCTTTTCATATGCTTTTCATATGCTTTTCATACGTTTTCTTTTTTTATATCCTATATTAATCTTAAATTATGATTTATAATATTATACTTTATTATTTTCATTTTCCTTAATAATGTCATTTTCGATCTCGTGTTTCACAGTCGCACGCATTCTGCTACAAAAGCATCCCCACCGAATGTACGTTTGGGAATTTGGAATCAATTTACCTACCGCCGCATGCCGTCAGTATTCCACGTACCGAAGTACCAATGGAAGCGATTATAGGAGTTCAAGTGCGTCGTAAAGAAGTCCTGGCGCGTGAGTATTCTTACCGTAAGTGTTTTATTTATAAGTATATACACATACGTACTTATACGTACCTAGATGGATGATATCTACATATATTCATACGATTAATTGAGCCATCCAGCAACACGTCTACCAAACATTATTACATTATATCACATTATGGAATCAAGTATGAATGAACACACAATATATAATAATAAATATTCTTCTTCTACATATATATGTGATAGGTATATTAGAATGGCGAAACCAACATTACCTTTTATTATTTCCCTGTCTCGAGTCAAGCTAAATTTCATATCTTTAATTAGTCGTGTGCGATATGGAAACAAATAAATATCAAGTAAATATCTAATAAATGTCCTATTACGCTCAGATAACAGATAATGGCATCATACTATTTGTTCTGAAAGTATGTAAACTGGTCTGATCATCTTATTTTTTTCTTTTCCAATATTATTATATACACATATACTACACATGTATACATATCAGAATTGTCAACGATAAAAATATTATTTATCAATTCTTTTTTGCATGCTATTATGTCGATATACCCTTATATAAGAACTTTCGTAAACATTATTTACATTTATACAGTACATGCATACATAACATACATATATATATATATTATAGTACCTACTATATTTACTTTTTTTTCAAGCATGCGATATCAATTTACATTAGTAGGATACATAGTATTTAATAAGTTTTTCTATTTTTGTTCGTAGAAACACAGATAGATAGATATATTAATATTTATTTTGTCTTCGCTTTTATTTATTTTTCAATCGAATAAATATATATAGATATAATATTGATTGTGATTAATATAAGTAAATTTGACACTCTATACAAGGTAACTGTAGGTGAATTGTAAGAATGCATATCACTGTATGTCTGTAGCATTGTATTTTATTATACGTATATTATCAGTTACGAATTAACTTCCTCTACTCGTACTCCTATAGTTCCTTAGCCTAGACATTTTCTAAGTGATTAGGAAAAGGGTAAGGTAAGATTTTCAAAGGTCAGCTATCATTAGTTATTTTCTAAGTATTGACACTCTACCCTTTTTTTCACGTTATATGATTTAAATAAATTCTTGTTAATGAGTCGCCTTAATCGTTTAACATTGCGTTTTACCAAATAAAAAACTTTGAAAGAGCCACTTTTAAAGATATTTCTTGTAAACATATCGTGATGAACGTAATATGGAAAAAAAGAAAAATAAATGGAATAATTCAAATTGTTCCTTAGAAATAATCAATTTGACTAATATTTCAAACATTATGGCTTCCGTGGCTGTCGTTGTTATAGTTGCTATTTTCATTGCGCTTTTAAATGGATTCACTTTAGTAGTTACTATAGTTCACAATGTCTCGTTATAAGCAAGTAAATGCAAGTTAATTAATCCAAATGTGCAAAGATATTAACTATAATAGTTTTGTTTGTTTACATTTATATTCCCTTTCCTTATTAAATAAATGAAAATAATATAGCCTGCTAGGTATTGTCAAGAAAAATAATAATAATAATCTCTTTTTTTATAAGCTATTAGAAAGTTCAAATCCCGCCATATTTTGGGCACAATTTTTTGTCGACTTATTGCATATTACGTATTATAATATAGGAAAAATAGTTGAAAGAAAAGGCAAATTTAGTAGAATTCAAATTGACTGTTAAAATATTCGGATTATCGTTTGCTTCTATTTGAAGATAACATCGGAGAGCAATTCGATTTCGCTGAGAGTGAACAAATTGGGGCTGCAGGCTGCCTAGCTGAAGCTTTGAGGCGCCTTTCACTAATTTTGCCACGTAGCTGCCATGGAAATTGTCATGCTTCCCCTCCCTATGTTCGAGGTATCTAGAATATTAAATCATCAGACATTCATTTGTGTGAGCATATTCAATATTATCAAATCTGTAGCGCAAAACAGAAAGAAAGATAAATCATTCCAGTAGCTATTATTATTTCTTTTTTGTACATATATATATTTATATATATACCTATATGTATATCTATATATATGAATACCTATATACCTATATATATATATACCTATTTATACCTATTATATCTATAATATATATATATATATATATATATATATATACATTTATACACACATTTATATTGTAGATATATTTATACATTTATACGAGATAACATGTTTATGGTTTATTATTATTATTATTATTATTATTAT